TTCAAGCATTTTTTCAACTTTGAATGCGAATTACAGCCGAACGGCTAAAACCACAGTTATATATCAATACTTGTTACATTCCCCAAACATTCAGCTTTCATATGCATATATTGGATTAATTCTACCTATTATATTTTTCGAGTAAATCAATGAACTGTGAAAACACTGCTTTTTCGAACGTTCTAATTTCAATTTTTCAACTTTGAACGCGTATTACTGCAATATGGATAAGAGCACAGAAATATATCTATACTTGCTGGATTCCCCAAACATTCAGTTTTCTCCCCGGGGAGGCGCGCTTCACAGTTTGGAAAACGCTGGATTAGGTAACGAAATTAACCAAAATAATAATAATAGAACACGTGAAAACAAACGAGAGATATGGTGGTAAAGAAGAAAAAGACTCGCCCAGGGTTGAAACTCAAAAAGTTCAATTACAAAATAAAAAAACAAAAATAAACAAATGAAATTTGAAGAAAGTACAAGTTCATCATCGAAGTGCGCTTTGTTTTTGTCCCTCACAGATTCAGCATTTTATAAACTCAGCATACTTACTCAATCAAGTGGAGGAAATCGGACTTTTTTTTACAAATATTTTTTTTTGGGGGGAGGTCAAGAAAATAGTTAAAAAAAAACCATGCATAAAGAATTCTTCATATATGTGTGTGCATTTTTATATGAACGATTCGAGGGGGAGGAATTTATGTTTCCAAAACTTTTTTACGTGTTTGTGTTAAATAAAGTTATAGAGAAAGAGAGAAAAGGAAAATAAATAAATAAATAAATTAAATGGACATTCCGAACAGGCAAAAATTCAGACCTTAAGAAAGATATAAGAAACCAAAAGGAAGAGAGAAAAGTTTGGTGTACTTTTTTGTTGTTGTTGCAACAATTTTAGTCTACGAAAATAAATTTGTGCGAGTCAAAACATTTGGTGTATCCATGAAATCAATAAATTTGGCTTTGGGAAACAGCAGAAAGTTGCTTTTGTTAATTAATTTATTTGCATAAATCTTTATAATACGTTAATCTTAAGATTGAATTCATCAAAATGTTAATTTCAGTCAAAAAAAAAAGAGTGAAGTTTAGGAGTTGAAATATTCATGAACACAGCAAAAGTTTTTAACACTTTTGTCATCTCATATTGGATATGCGAAGACAAAGTTGAAGTACGTGTGTATCGGTAAAAGAAAAACAAAAGAAAATTTGTTTCGTAATGTCAAAGAAGGCCAAGTGAAGTTATAGACAAACAAAGAAAAGAACTAAGTTAATAATTAGAGAAAATGTATTGTAAAGTTAAATAGGAAACGAGCTGATCGGGATCTATGTAGATCTCGAGAGTGAAAAATTACCTAGCTCATGGGACCAGTTACGATGGTGGTGAGCCGCCACTAGAAGTGATTTCAGTTAATAACAAACAAACAAACATGTTTCGATTCGTAGGATGAACAAATAAAATCGCACACACATCATTCGCACGTCGTGTGGGCAAAACAATTTCCACAACAAAAACAAAAATAAATAAAAAACAATAGTAGTAAGTAGTAGTAGTACGCAGTTGACTCAAGTATTGAAGAGTCAATATGTTGAGTATACGAATAATCGTGTACACTCGTTAATGGTAAAGCCAACCACAGAATGGACGAGAAGAACATATTAAAGAAAACTTGTATAAGAAAATATTTTAAAAACGAAATTATAGCTTCAATCAGAGATAGAAAATGAATTTTTTAATGTTCAGTTCTTCTTTTGTAAGATTGTTAAAATAATTATAATTAAAAAAAAATAAACATAAAAATCAGATTAGTCTTCTCTTTTTAATGAAGATGTGTGTTTTCGAATCGTTTCTACTTACAATTTTTGCATTTGCACTTCTTGATGAGGGTCTCGTCCTTGATCTCGTCATGGCACGCCTTGCAGTAGAACCAGGCCCTGTATTTCGTTTAATTTTTTGTTTTGTTGTTTGTTTTGTTTTTTTAAATTTTCGTGTAATTATTACGAAAAATAGAAGAAGAAAACAAAAAGAAAACTATGCTTGTTGCAATCGTTTCACTTACCTTTTCACCTCGTCCGCAGATTGCGCAATAAAGAATCCCTGAGTATTTGCCACAATCTTAGCGCCCCTCGGGTTTATGGAGATCTTCGTGTCCGCTCCTTCGGTGCCCTTCACTTCGATCGCCAGTAAAAGCAGCTTCAGTTTGGTGAAGCACAACCTGCACGGAAAGAAACAGAAATTGTTAACTATTGTTTATAGAAAAACGAAAATAATTAAAAGCAAAAATAAAACGTTTGATCACCCAAAAATTATATAAAAAAAAAATAATGATTGCACGAATTTGATCAGAAAATAAATTACAAATTGTGATGGTTGGAAAGAAAGAAAACTGTAATTTCCTCTAAACGTGAAACGTAACAATTCAAATTATAAATAAATAAATAAATGAACGTTGCTTAATTACTGCCTACGAAAACCTCTAGGCCGTGTTATTTCCACCTCTATTTTGTTTCATTTAAACGTATACTCTTTCACTTTGGCGCCGAACAAAAGGACTTACCTCAAGATTACTGTTCTTTTTTTTTTTTTTTTTTAAATACATATTTTTCTTTTCTCGGTTACATACAAATAAAAAACTAAGCGAATTAAGCTTAATTACACACACACAAAGCTTCAAAGCCGAAGAGAATAAAAGTTTGCTTCTTAATTAAGTAGTAGTAGTGGGGCATGCGTTGTTATTAGTCGAAGCCAGAAGCTAAAAAAACAATAGGAAAGTTAAGTTTACGTAACGAAACACACACACTTATAAACAGATTTACAGAATAAAAGAAATAAAGAGATAGACTAAGAATTAAGGAGTACAACAGATGATAGAAACTAATTTTTTTTTTGTTAATTTCGCTAAGAATCTAAGATTTTAGTGTCGATGTTGATGAACGTAACTAATGTTCGTTGTTTTTTTCGAGAACGTCTCACAATGTTGTTTTTTTTTTCTTATGTACACAGCCAACTGCGTTCATTGTTTTGTTAATGGGAACGTACGCAAGAATCGCTCGTTATAATAATGTCTTTTAGATTATGTCTTATTCCGTGTTTATCGAGTTCTCCCATCGATTCAATTTGTATGGAGCGTATCGTCATTATAGAGAAGTGGTGGATGGATGGATGTGAAGGAAGACTGTTCAAGGTTCGATGTCGTGATGGAACAAACGTTATAAATACGTGCACATGTTTTCGTGTGGGATGGATGGAAACGTTTTCATCGCTGGGAATTTCGTTTGATTAGTTTTCTGCCTGCTTCAATATTTATTGCATTCCCTTGTCGTTTCGATGGAATTGGATATGCGTATGATTATTTGATGCAATCACGAATATCCTGATGTTCAATCCAGTCGAAACACTGAATTATATACGAATCTCATTTGAATTTGATGACAGTGCATATTTAAATATGTAAATTATTGAAAAGATTAATACCTTGAGTTTCTTTGTTGTGAAGAAATTATTTATTAATATTAAGTAATTTAGTCTGTTTTTGTATATTTAGTTAAACTATTCTAGAGATTTCTTATTACTAATATCTTGATTTGTTTGTTTGTTTGTTGAAAATTGAAATAATTTATTTATAAAAATTAAAAAATATCTAAATTTTACTCATAAATTGTTATTTTAATGAACTTTCTTACATCCAAATTATATAGTTAATTGTTTTTAAACAAAATTTTGAAAATTTGTCACATTTGTTTTATATACTTTAAGATATATTAAGATATATTAAGATATATTAAGATATATTAAGATATATTAAGATATATTAAGATATATTAAGATATATTAAGATATATTAAGATATATTAAGATTAATTACAATTAAGTAAAATTTGTATTTGTAAATAAATATCTATAAAAATGACAAATTTTAAATATTATAACTTTTATGTTTTGTTTGAATTCATATTCAAAATGAAGGCGAATATTGTGAATAAATGCAATAAATATGAAACAAGGATTGGATTGAAAAATATCTTTAAAATATCTAAATTTTACTCATAAAATGTTATTTTAATGAACTTTCTTACATCCAAATTCTATAGTTAATTGATATATCCTTGATTATATGAAAAGTCGGTTTTGTTTTTAAACAAAATTTTGAAATTTTGTCACATTTGTTTTATATACTTTAAGATATATTAAGATATTTAAGATTAGTTACAATTAAGTAAAAATTTGTATTTGTAAAAAAATATCTATAAAAATGACAAATTTAAAATATTATAACTTTTATGTTTTGTTTGAATTCACATTCAAAATTAAGGTGAATGAATGCAATAAATATGAAACAAGGATTGGTTGAAGATTTATAAAGCTGTTAAAGGATAATTTTTGGGGAGTAGTGTTAATTATTTCTCAATTGAATTGTTGTTAGTAAATTAAATGTGTTTGTTCATTCGGCATGGACACGGACGTTGTTAGTATTATCAGTATAATTTAGTTGTTCTTTTTGTGTGTTGATATATCTTATTTATCCTCTCTAGAGAGAACGTGGTGTGTTGTTTGGTTTGGTTGGTTGCGTGTCAAATCAATATGTGAGCTTACTCGCTGGCCTGCGGGAAGGACATGCCCGTGAAGGATGGGGACAGAGTCTCAGTGTACATCTCGCATCCTGTGCCTTGCAGGTAATCGTTCTGCCAGACTTGCGTGTCGGGGGACTGAAAAAACAATACACCGCAAACGTAATCAGCAAGAAAAGAGAAAAAAAAAAATTATAATGAAACAATTTTTTGTTTGTTTTCGAAACACGATCCGCAATTCCAAGGATAAACTCCATCTAGTTGGTAAAGTAAACAACGCATCATCATCATCAGGACGTGGAAAGGACACACACACAGATAGATAAATAGAGAAAGAGAGAGAGCATTGAACTGCGACTGAGAGACTGTGTTTTTTTTTGTTTATACGCTTCAAAGTTTTGTTCAATTTGAAAATAAAAAAATACAACAATAATCATATGTAAATTACGGAAGATTTATATAAGTATATATCTATAAATAGATAGAGAGAGATAGTGAAAAGACATCGATAGCAGATAAGACATAAGCTTGCAGAAATTATACCACAAAAAAGAAACCAGTTGCGCAAGAATCTTCAAAAAAAGGGGGGGTAACAATCAAATTTTTTAATACAAAAAATATGGGAGTAATAACAAAAAAAATAACAGTAACGAGAGGGGTTGATGCAAAATAAAGAGTAAATACATGTAAAAAATATTTACGCTTCTTCGGGGGTTTTTTAGGGGTTTTAGCCTGAGTGTTTTTTTTTTGCAATCGTTTTGAAGCATCTTTGTGAAAGAGAGTATTCGGTCGACCTATTAACCATAATTTTTTCTTTTTTTTGGGGGTGGTTGTGGTTTAATATTGTTTTATTTTGTTTTTTTTTGGTATCCGACACGTTGACTTACTCGGTAGCCTGAGCAAAGGGCATCCCTATAAACGAGGGACTCAGTGTTTCTGTGTACATCTCCATCCCGGTGCCCCTTAAATAGTCATTGGTCCACACCTGCATATCGGGCGACTGCAATCACGACAATCACAATAACAAATTGCCAAAATTCAGTTAAGTTCAAATAAATAAAATTATAACTAAATAAATAAATAAATAAATAAAGAAAGTGGATGGAAGCTCTTCGTCGCGTCCGGTTTTTAATTTCTCTTCTTTAGTATTATCATGTTCTGGATGCGGTTTTTTTTGGAGTAGAAGAAAAGTCGTAGAAGATTTGTGGAGTCCAAACAACAACAACAACAACAAGAAAAATAATGATTGAGAGAAGAAGTATTATTATAGAAGAAAAGTCGCTACATCTGGATGAGAAATCTCCAATGCTGCGTTTCTCAAAACTTGAGGATGTATTGATATGTTTCTGTTTGTGTATCGATTCGGAGCGCGGACGACTTACAGTTTTGAAGGATCTCATCGCGAAGAGGTTGGCCATCATCGTGGAGAATCCTGGGGCGAGACACGATTGTGCAATGAAGCCGAGCTTCAGCTCCGCCAGACAGATCACGTCGTCTCCTTGCTTCCAATCCCACGAAGGAATGTTCAGTAAATAAGCCTGAAAACAATCACCTTAAATAATACCGGAATTTTCATAAAATCGAGTCTCACCTTATTGTGGTACTGCATCAGTTGAATAATTACTCTAATATCGTCGCTGTAATTCTTGATCGAAATTACTCGCATTATGTTTGCTGCATCCTCTGCATCTGGGTCTTGGCAGTATTTGTTGGCTAAAACTAGGCACGCATCGGCTTCGTGTACCTAAACACCGCAGAACGCACAACGTCAGACCAATACAAATTCCATTAAAAAAAAAAAATCACACACAAAAAAACTACTCTTATTTTAAAGAAATTCCAACAAATCAAATTATCCGATCATCATTACTGTAGATTTATTATTAATTCTATTTAAATATGCAAATTTTGTTAATATTTTGAAAATTTCTCATATTCTTAAACTAGTTGTGATGGAATAATTTGTTTCGTTAGTTGAATTGAATGTTAAATTGATGTACAAAAAGTTAATTAAACGAATGTTTCTATAGTTACGGATTGTAAGCGATTAGCGGCAAGTGTGCTTTGACCAAAAAACAAAAAGAAAAAGGTTAGATGACATTTCAGCAATCTACTGACGCAACCAATTTGCATAGTCAATAAGTATAGAAGCATTTTTTTTTTTTTGGTTTTGGAATGATCGATTTTTTTTTTGATCTTCAGAAGTTCTGGATCGACTTCTCCTTGTAATTCGAAACTCGAATGATGGCCGAGTGTAAGAAAATAATAAAGTAAGTAAGTAAAAGTTTCTAAAAGTCCTACGCTTCAGACCTAAGGTTTCACAACTACCAAATTAAAAGTTAAAAAAAAAGAAAACGCAGCATGCATTTGTCATGGAAATAACAAACAAACAAACAACAACAACAACATTTCGACTTTCTCGCTTTGCGCTATTCATCGCAACTGATAGAAAAACAACGGGCTTTTGTAGAAAAAACGTTGTTTAAATGTAATGTAACGAAAAAAAAATAAATATCGTATCGGTGCTTGTTAAAGAAGACTATTGAAACTAGCCTCCTGGTATAGGTTGCAAATGAGGTGGTAAGTGTTCAGTTTTGATTGGTCAATACTTGGAGGCTAGTGGATAATAAATGAAAAAAAAAAACATGCCTAATCGCTTCATTGGTCACTAGAAATCTGTTTGAATCAGATAATAACGAAGAACGAAACGAAAAATCGGGAGCGGATTAAATTTTTGTATTTATATATAAAAACAAAAATAAAGTAAATAATATAATAATAAATCTATTGAGGCAGACGCCTATTTTCAGTTAGTTACGTTAGAGCGAGAGCCAACTTACCACCACTTGGCACTTCGTCGTTGAGGGAGGGAGGGTAAAGAGCAATTGTTTCCTAGTTGCTAAGTAGTTTTTGTTTGTTTTCTGTTCTCTTTTTGTTTTTGTTTATTATTATTTAGTAACAACGCTACTATAGAAACGAATCTAGGTTCGTCGTTAAGCACCTGATCTTTTGTTTCGGATTTGAGGGTTTTGGGGGTGTGTTACCGGGGTTTAATTAACAAAACTGTGTCCAGATCAGTTGAAACAAATGAAAGAAATAGAAACAAAGGAAAGCGTAATTATTTACCTCCAAAGAGCCTGAACGGAGTTTCCGCAATTACGAAATCAAACGTTATTTATATTTATGTAATATAAGAAATAAAAAACAAACGAAAAACACACAGACTATTCTTTGCAAGACCTAGTTGGTAACAGTAACATTCATCGATTTTCCAAAAAAAAAAATTAATAAACAAAAAACGACAATTAGTTAAGAAAAATAAAAGTTACCAAAAAAAGAAAAAACATTTAGATAATCAACATTAATCAAAGATGATTGTTTTAAAAAGAATTTAAAAAAAAAGAAAACGGTGGATGTGTTAAAACAAAAAACAAAAAAAAATGAATTGATTAATTTAAAGAAAATGATGAAAACAATGCGTTTATTGAATGTTTCAGCCCCCCTTTTTGTGTCGAGAAATTATTATTGCAAGTGATGGGGGTTATTTTATTTTATTTAATTTAATTTTTTTCTTTTCTTTGAAAGATAGATAGATTTGCGCGTTTCTTACCTTGACCCTTTGCAGGTCAATAGGGTTCATGATGGTACCTTGGAAGAATTCTACCGTTGTGAAATGTCTCTTGAAGAGACCTTCCAGTTCAAGGTCAGGCGGTTTCCTAGTTACCAAAAAATAGTACAGAAAACAAAAGAAAAAACAACAACGGAAAACGAAACGATAACAATATGAAGGAACGATATAAAATAATCTACGAGATGTCGCTCTCAGAATAAAAGAAAAGAAAACTTCTGTACATTCCAAAGATCCAGCAGTTAAAAAAAAATATAATAATAATGATTATAGTAACAATATAAGTATATACCATGCAAAATGTCGAGAAATAAAGGCACCTGTGGCTACTCCACTACTCTGCGAAACAAAAAAACGCGAACCTGGGCAGCTCCTTCGACGCCCAAAACAAAACCCAAACTAAATACTATAAATTAACCAACAAAAAAAAAACACGAGCTTAATGACTTCAGAAAGAGCTGCCCGGAAGGTCGCCAAATACCAAAACTTTTAATGAATTAGGAAATGATAAGTAAAAATTTAAAAAGAAAATATATTAAACAGTGCTGCAGGAAATAGATGTTCTGTATATATATAGATAAATGTAAAAAAATAATAATATATGGTTTCTCATAAATTTGAAGCTTATACACGACCCATTCATTTTCAATAATTCTTATTATTATCAAGAGACGCGGGAAATCCGGTTGCGTTTGTCTGCGTTTTGCATTTTTTTTGTTTTTGTAATTTGCGCTACCTTGACACGTTCAAGGTCTACTGCGTTCATCATGGTTCCCTGAAAAAACTCCACTGTTGTGTAGTGGCGTTTCAGAAGTCCCTCCAATTCCAAATCTGGCTCTTTTCTACAATGTAATGTCGCATCATCATAACAAAAACATAAAAAAAAAACTAAAGAACAAACAATAGAAGAAAAGAAAAAAAACACATACTAACTCAAAGAAAATTTATAAATTCTGTATTTTGTTTTTTTTTTCCTTTTTTCATCGTTCATTTTTCTTAAACTTATATTCGTTGGCCTATTTGCAAATTGAAATCATTAACATCTGGAAAGAAAATACACATTTTGGGAAGCTTACATTTTGATTTTGCTGTCAATTTTTCTCTTTATGTAATGTCAAAGTAATAATAAAATTATTTTTAACTTGAAAATTAAAGTTGTTGATTGTTGCTATATTCACACCTAATTATAGTAACATATATTGATTTATGTTGGTAACAAATGTCATATTTGATTATGAATGTACCGTACAACTGTCAAATATATGTTTAGGTTACAGTGACATTTATATAATGTCATATTGATGTATGTGACATGTCAAGCTGTCACTGTGACAAATTATGTAATAGTCTATCTGATTTAGTGTGAGACATGTAAATGATTTGGAAAATTTGGTAAGTTCTGATGTGTTTTGTAAATAAGCTTCCCAAAAAGAAATGCATATGTATAATATATATATAATTAAATATTAAACTTAACACAAAAATTGATCTTTTTTCTGGATTTTTTTCTCTTAAAACAAAATAAAAACAAAAAAAAATATTTGGTAGATTGGAAAGTGGATGCTTACCTATGTAAGAAAACTACTTCGACGTCGACGTCCTCCCTGTCCTCGTGAAGGAAATCTTTCAAGAAGTGCGAAACTGACTCGTAGGTGATGTGGCCACAAACCACGATGTGCCTGGCTCAAACACAAGAAAGAGAGAGCATTAGACGGTGAAACGCGAAATGTTTGTTAACAACAACAATGAAAACAAACAAACAAAAAAACACATATTTTACAACACACCACAACACTTAATCAAATCAAATTAAAAGAAAAGATTTTTTNNAAATAAACTTTCTACAAATTACAGTATCGAAAATGCTTAAAAATCGAGTGGTAAAAAAAGTTGAAAAATTACAAAAGTAGTAAATATATAGAAAACATGCTCTTGTAATATATAGAGTAAATCAAATACAAATTACGTTCAATTATATAAGAAAAAAACAAATAATTATAAAACTAGCACTAATGTTGAAATACGTTGTTGAAATACACCAGTGCACAAGAAAATTGGTTCCATCATGCATATCAATTCGTACTGCTTTTTATCAAAAATTTAATTCTCAACCATTAAAATAAATAATTACAACTGAATGTAGAAAGTTTCAATTAAATAAGAAAAAGGAAAAAATAAACTATTCGTAAGCCAACACCCTTGACTAAGCGCTTCAAATCTCATTTTTTTTGTTTTTGTTAGTTGATTAGTTACGAAACACAAAACGCGATTGGCAGTACTGAGGTGGGACAGGAGCGATAAACTAAAGGAGATATCGATACGTTTTTGTTTTTTTTTTGTTTTTTTGAAAAAAATAGTCAAGCCTGCTGCTTATTCCAATTGAATTACGAAATCTATGAAAATTATAATTTAACAAAAAAAAAATAGGTGATTTCTACCCTAAAAGAGAGAGAAAAATAGAAATACTAAAGTTGAGATCATCCTTCAAATACGAATCAAATAAAATTGTAGATAAAATAAAATAATAATAAGTTTCAAAATATTTCTTTTTTTCCATAAAATATATATACAGGGTGAGCGCCTGTGCACACTGCCTGGCCGCGCACAAAACTTCCCGGGTGATCATCGAAGAACCGCATGCGGTCATGCATTATGTAACAATATATATATATATATCTCACTCTCTAACATTTAGTCAAAGAAAAGGATGTTGAAATAATAATAAAAGAAAGATTAAAACGTAAGGGATTTATTGAAAATCCGTTACGTAATGTATGATCTATATGTATAGAAAAAATATATGTTTTAGGGTTGAGGATTTCATGAGTGATTCACTAAAGTTAAGAATGATACCGGTTTCTTTTTTTTCTTTCGTTTTTGCAATCAGTTTGCAAAAAAAAAAAAAAAAAAAAAATAGAAGATTTTTACGTAATTGTAAAAGTGGTGTAGTGAGGGTTATTCTTTTCTTTTTAAAGTAATTTTTTTTTTGTTTTTTGCGGGGGGTAATTAAAGGATGTACGAAGCGTGCAGGAGAAAACACAGCTCTTTATGTGAAAAAATATACCGTGTTCCCTTAACAGATTTTCTTTTTTTTCTTGAAGAGAGAAAAAAAAAACGAAAAATTTCGTTTCTTTTTTGTTGAAAAAACAAAACGATCGTATTATATTTTTTTTTCCCGGTTGGTAAACTTGTGTGTGTTAAGTCAACAAGGTACTAGAAGTATCTTCTCTCACCTTCTGCCTCTCTCGTTCTTCAAGGTGCCACCATACTTTGGTCTAGTCCCGATCAAGTCAATAATCTCGGGGATACAACTGGCAAATATCGCCTAAACGCCAGCCGGACAAACAAGACAATCATTTGGACATTAAGAACAAGAGGCATCGCCCAACCAATCGATATACAAGTAAATTTACCAAAAAAAAAAAAATAAATGTTTCAATTGTTATATAATCTTATCGATTGCTTGGGCGTATTTAAAGACGATAACAAGTAATATTTGCTGTAAGCTATGGGCATATGGAGAAGTGGCTTCAATCTTTTTTTTTTTTGTCCGAAAAAATAATTAAATGGAGGTTTTTTTTGGATCATTGGGGGGGGGGTGTTTGGATGCAATGAAAATAGGATCACTTTACTAGCGTTTTCTTTTTGTCAATTGTTTTATCTCTGGGATAGATTTTTTTTTTTTAGAAAAAGAAAAAACATTAAGTAAACAATAATTAAGAAAATAACGTTAATTTTCATTTTTTGAAGAATAAATTATAAGAAAAAAAGTCTAATTTACGAACATAAAAAACAGACAGTCCAATTAGAGGAGCCTTATAGGTCTTCTTCGCTCTCTAACAATTATTATGTACAATGAGGCAAGAGACGGGCGTATTTCGGGTTCGGCACATTTTCGATTTAAAAAAAAAAAAAGTTAGTAATTTTGTTTTGTTAGAAAACCGGAAGTGCTCTTTTTGTGCGTGTGTGCGTGTGTTGCGTCACCGGAAGAGACGGAGAAAGAACGAACGATATAGAAGACAAAATATAGTAATAATAATAATAAAAAGAGAGAGAGATAGATAGAGAGAGATATAAAAGGATCAGAGTTGTCGTAATAATAAGTACGAGGTGGACGAAAAAAAGAAACGACAAAAGTATATATATATATAAATTAAAAAAAAAAGAGAGAGAGATAGAGATGGTCGAGTGTGCGTGCGCGTCTAGACAAACAAACACTTGGACGGTGCCAAAAAGTCCCTAGGATTGCTCAAAGTCGAAAGGAAACAGAAACGAAAACAAACAAAAATGTTACCAAAAATAAATGAAAAACTAAAAAAAAACAAAATTATAATAATGAAAATAATATATATACTTTGTTTGTTTTTTTTTGAAATTTAATAAATAAATAATTATAATAATCGTAGTTATCTTGGTTGGTTTGTTACGTGGGAGGGAGCGTATCGCGCGCGTCGTTGTTGTTGTTGTTGCTGTTAGCAACAGAGATAGAAAGAGAGAGAGAGAGCCGTTTCAGGATGCGATTCTGAAAATTAGTCTTGTTTCTGAAATTTAGGTTGGCAACGGACACCCCCAGCACAATTCGCGCGAGTTCAGAGCGCGGCCGTGCGTTGCGCTAGCAGGCTGTGCGGGCTCTATTATTCAATCACAATGGGGTGCTACTACTATGTATAATAATAATAATATAATAACAATAATAATAATAATGTTTCCTCTACTTTGGGGCCAGCTAGACTAAACCAGGCTTAAATCACTCATCCCATTCTGTATGCTCTGTCCAGGTCACCAAAAAAAAAAATCAGTGAATCAGGAAAAAAAAATATCCCTAGACGCGTTGTCAAACGTCAAAATTTGACAGCTCTTCAATATTTTTGTTGTTAATTGTTTATTTTTACCAATTGTTGTTGTTTTTTTTTTAAATTTATTTATTTTTGATCGATCTCCATGAGTTTAAGGTTTCGTGTGCAATTAGTGGAATAAGCATACAGAATGCAGGTCCAAATTCGGCAGCTAGCTGAGCATGCCAAAAAAAGTTGTCAACTCTCTAAACGAAATTAATGTAACAAAAGAAAAGAAAAAGTAAATCAAATTAAGTGATAAAAAAAATCAAAACAAATCGAAAAAAAAATTGTAATTAAGTAATTAAGTGAATTTGCTCTAGTAGTAAGATCGAACAAAAAATATTACCCACGAAAGTGAAAAAAAGGAAAGAAAAGAAAAAAACGAAAATTTGTAGTATTTCCGATTCGCGATTGTTTTGGAATTTTTAATTGATGAAAAGAAATTATTTTGGGGGGGGTAACATTTTTGCGTTCGCTAAATAGTTACCGAAATATAATATATATATATAGCGCAAAGCATAACCCAAGTGCTACAAAAAAGTATATATGTATAATATATAAATTAATTTCTGTTGATAAAATTTGTAATTATCATCAAAATTAAGTAAACAATAAAATTTTGCTTCGTATTCATAACTTAATTCTTTTGTTTTGGTTTCGTGTTGTTGTTTTTTTTTTTTTTACTTAAAATGAGTAAAATAATAAAATAAATAATTTCTCGTATACTCGGTTATTGTTTATATATATAATATTTATTGATTAATGTAAATATATATCTATACATATATATATTATATACGTTAGTTTTTTTTTGTTTTTTTTGTTGTTTATATATATATATGCACGTATATAGTATACTTGTGTGTGTTTTTCGGGCTATACCTGCGTCGCACATCTTTGCTGTACTTTCCGGCATACTTGGGTCGATTTGCTGCGAGCTCAGTGATCTCAGGAATCCAGCTGGCAAACACCGCCTACCAACCCACACACCCATCAGGCTCCTCAGTTAGGACCCAAAAACATCTATTTACTACTACACTTTCCTCTAACTAACTCTTAGATCTTAGGTAAAACAATCATATAGTATATAGTATAATATATATAATAATAGAAGTAGTACATATTCAACATACATAAATCATATTTAATAATAATACAAAAAAAAATTAAAAAAAGGAAACGGTTAGAACTATGTGTGTGTACGTTGTACAAAAGGTAGCACATCCTCTCTCAATGTGTTTTCTAAGGATCTATATTTTATAAATTTTTGTTGTTGTGTGTATGTCACCTTAGCGACAATGGAAACTAAAACTGAGTTAACGTGGATTTATCGGGGAGTTTCGTAAAATTAATTTACCTTTGGAACACGTTTGCTTTCACAGCTGATGGACATTCCTTAATCCAATACGAATCAAACAACAACTGTTATTGGTTGGCATGACATTAATTATTGAATTAACAGCTGTCATTTTTATGTAATAGTTGGTTGTCATGGATGCAAATGACATTATATATGAATTGACAGTTCTGTCATTTTCACGAAATAGTCTTTCGTAATTTTGTATTTATACCATAGTTTGTACCATATATTAATATAATAGTTTTAAATGAAATATAGTTCATATTTTATAAAGTTACGTAATTTGTCTTTATATTAAAAAATAATAATAATAAACTATTATTGGTTGTCCCGACATTAATTATTGAATTGACAGCTGTCATTTTTATGTAAGAGTTGGTTGCCATAGATGCAAATGACATTACATTTGAATTGACAGTTGCTAAGCTGTCATTTTCACGAAATAGTCTTTCGTAATTTTGTGTTTGTACCACAGTTTGTACCATATATTAATATAATAGTTTTAAATGAAATATAGTTCATATTTCATAAAGTTACGTAATTTGTCTTTATATTAAAAAATAAATAAATAATGAACTGTTATTGGTTGTCCCGACATTAATTATTGAATTGACAGCTGTCATTTTTATGTAATAGTTGGTTGCCATGGATGCAAATAACATTACATTTGAATTGACAGTTCTGTCATTTTCACGAAATAGTCTTTCATAATTTTGTATTTGTACCACAGTTTGTACCACATATTAATATAATAGTTTTAAATGAAATATAGTTCATATTTCATAAAGGTACGTAATTTGTCTTTATATTAAAAAAAAGAACTATTATTGGTTGTCCTGACATTAATTATTGAATTGACAGCTGTCATTTTTATGTAAGAGTTGGTTGCCATAGATGCAAATGACATTACATTTGAATTGACAGTTCTGTAATTTTCACGAAATAGTCTTTCATAATTTTGTATTTGTACCAGTTTCTATCACATATCTTATAATAATATTTTTATATATAGTTTTAAATGAAATAAAGTTCATATTTCATAAAGTTACGTAATTTTTCTTTATATGAAAAAAAATAATAATAAACTATTATTGGTTGTCCTGACATTAATTATTGA